TCAATGATGAGTTATTCCTCATTGCCTACTTCTTTTTGGGGATATGTACTACAAACAACTATTTATATCTTGAATTTAGTACTATCTAATTCGGTTCATAAGACGCCCTTTGAATTAAGTAAGCATGTGATGCCCACATTACTTCATGAAATAGAACCAGAGGTAGTAGGGTACGAGACACCCATTGATGCACCTCTACACACCTATCCCGATGGGGATAATGAGGAGGTTGGTCCTAACCAAGGACATTACCAAGCAGTGGGAGAAAAGGAAAGATCTTCGATCAGAATGGACAATCGGCACCTTCAACCGTTACTCGTAGTAGGAGGATTGTTAGACCACCTTCTAGATACTTGCTCTATGGAGAGTCCTATCAGGCGATCTCTACTGAACAAGAAGAAGATCCCACTTTGTTTAAGGAAGTAATGGAGGCTATAGACTTTGAATCATGGAAATCTACCATGAACTCAAAGATGGAATCTATGTATTCTAACCAGGTTTGGGATCTTATGGATGCACCTAAAGGGGTCAAACCTATAAGGTGCAAGTGGGTCTATAAAAGAAAAAAGGGAATAGATGGGAACGTCGAAACCTTCAAAGCAAGGCTAGTGGCCAAGGGTTTTACCCAAAGAGAAGGTGTCGACTATGAAGAAACCTTCTCATCGATTGCCATGCTTAAATCTTTTCGAATCCTTTTATCCATTTTCGCTCATTATAATTATGAGGTTTGGCAAATGCATGTTAAGATAGCCTTTTTGAATGGGCATCTTGACGAGACTATCTACATGATGCAACCTAAAGGGTTCGTAAAAGAAGGCCATGAAAGGAAAATTTGCAAGTTGCAGATATCCATTTATGGACTTAAACAAGCGTTCAGGTCCTGGAATGTCAGATTTGATCAAACCATTAGACATATGGTTTTAACCAAAATCTGGATGAACCCTGTGTATACAAGCGTGTGCAAGTGAAGAAAGTAGTTTTTTCTGATTCTTTATGTGGATGACATTCTACTCATTAGAAATGATGTATAGACATTATTATCCGTAAAGAATGGTTGTCGTAGCAGTTTGATATAAAGGACATAGGAGAGGCTAGTTATGTTTTGGGAATCCGTATCTTACGAGATAGGAAAAACAAAAGGATAGCATTATCCCAAACTTTAAACATTGACAAAATATTGTTTAGATTTGTAATGCAGAATTCCAAAAAGGGACAACTGCCTTTTAGATATGAAATTCATCTATCTAAGGAGCATTCTTCCAAGACTCCAACAGAGATAGATTATATGAAGAAGGTTCCTTATGCTTCGGCTATGGGAAGCCTCATGTATGCCATGCTTTGCACTAGACTGGACATTTATTTTGCTGTGGGTATTGTTACTCGTTATTAGTCTAATCTCGGACCAGAACATTGGATGGCAGTGAAGCATATACTCAAGTATCTTCGGAGAACGAGAGACTATATGCTTGTCTATTCAGGACATGATCTGAATCCTATTGGGTATACTAATTCCCATTTTCAATTCGATAGTGACTCTAGAAAGTCCACATTGGGTTCAGTATTTATACTGGGAAGTGGAGCTGTGGTATGGAGGAGTATTAAGCAATCTTGTATTGCTAATTCTACCATGGAGGTAGAGTATGTAGCCGCTTGTGAAGCTGCTAAAAAGGCTGTATGGCTCAAAAAGTTTCTCTTGGACCTTGACATGGTACCTTTGGCAATGGAACCCATAACACTTTATTGTGATAATAGTGGAGTGGTTGCCAATGCTAAAGAACCAAAGAGTCATCAGCATGGCAAGCACTTCGAGAGGAAATACCACCGTTAGAGAGATTGTTCATCGAGAAGACGTAACGGTTAGCAAGATTGCATATGCAGATAATCTTGCGGATCAGTTCTCCAAGAGCTTACCAGCTAAGGTTTTTGATGAGCACCTTAAGAAGATGAGTATTATTGATATGTCACATATACTTTAAAAGGGCAAGTGATAGATTGTTAGTTTGATGCCCTCTTATAGTAAGTATATTGTAACGACAATATGAATTAACGTTCTATTATTCATGTGTTATAATTTCTGACGATAATCTAAGGTTCCATGATCATATGAAATAACAAATTGTATACTCGACAGTTTGGGTAT